CTGCGCAGCTTGGCGTGGAAGGGTTACGTTCATTGGCTCACAGGGAGAGTACACTGGGCTCCCCAGGGGAGTGGTTAAAATATCAACCTGGCAAGAATCCAGCCCCTATTTCAAGGTTTTCACCCAGTGACAATTTAATGTAAAATACAGAAGCAATCCTGGAAGAGGCAATGTAACCCAGCATTTCTGCTCTATCACTGCAGAGTCATGCCCTTTATTTCCTGATGAAACTTGCCCAATAAATGAGCAGAGTGAAACAGCTTTGCCCAGGAGGGAGGGACAGACCTTAACATCAGTCTAATCCATAGGTAGTGATTAAGATGATTACCTGAGAGGTAGAAAATGTATTTCTTTTTAATAGTCTTAGGCAGGGGAAGAAGCAAACTCATTGCTTTCACAATCCGAGTTATTTCTTTTTGGAGTTACTAAATACAAAGGATGCAGTACCATAACATTTCCTCTGGCTAGATGTAAGGTTTAGCTTCTTATTCCATGAAAAGGCTTGTGGTGTAGCTATACAATTAGTTTCCCTGATGACAAAACTAGTTTAAAACTTCCTGTCTTTGGCTTCTTTTTCACCCTGTGGTTTTACCAGAGCAACTCATTATGGGGCTGCACATAGCATCGATAATGGAAATGAAGTTCAAAAAAGTGTCTGTGAACTGGATGAGCAACAGATTGAATATGATATTTATGCCCTAAAGATACAATTTATGTTTAAGACATGCTCTTGTCTTCACCAGTTCCTTACTTGCCAACTGTACATGGCTCCCAGTTTGGCCACTGTAAGGTTCCGAACTCTCCCCTTGTATTGCAAAGGGTTCAGACATCTTTGCGCTACTGCAGTTTCTGACTTCTATATATGAAGAGAAGTGTTCAGGCCTTTTGAACCATCTGCAAGTTTTCCGACTTGAGCTTGAGTTGGAACTACCAAAGAAATATGGAAGGATGCAAGGTGCTACATTACCCTTGAGGGAGGTGATCCTTCCCCTCTACACGACACTGGTGAGGCCACACCTGCAGTGCTGGGTCCATTTCTGGGCTCCTCAGTACAAGAGAGACATGGACATACTGGAGCCAGTCCTGTGAAGGGCCACAAAGATGATGAAGGGACTGGAACATCTCTCCTGTGAGGAATGACTGAGAGAGCTGGGACTGGTCAGCCTGGAGAAGAGAAGGTTCAGGAGGATCTTACCAGTGTGTATAAATACCTAAAGGAGGGTGCAAAACAGAAGGAGCCAGGCTCTGAGAAGAGCCTGGTGCCCAGTGTCAGGGCAAGAGGCAACGGGCACAAACAAGAAACACAGGAGGGTCCCTCTGCACATCATACAACACTCTCTTGCTGTGAGGGTGACCAAGCACTGGCACAGGTCACCCAGGGAGGTTGTGGGGTCTCCCTCCTTGGGGTTATCCAGAAACTGCCTGGACACAGTCCTGGGCAACCGGCTCTAGGTGGCCCTGCTTGAGCAGGGGGTTGGACAAGATGACCTCCAGAGGTCCCTTTCAACCTCAACTATCCTGGGATTATCTGAACGAAATATTCAATTTTTGGGTAATTTGGGAAAATTTTTGTAGTTGGTCTGTCAACCACGGAGTTTCTTTGTATGGTGCTATGTTGACTTCCTAAGTCAGTAGCTTTACCTTGGTCTCCCAAGTGGGTACATTTTTCAGAACCAGGTATCTATGTTAAAATTAAAAGCTCATGTCCTGCTATACTTACAAAAGGACCACTATTCCCACATATGATGGTACCCAAAAACCAATCTTTTAAGCTATGATTTAATGTAGCTATTAAGGAAATAAAAGCTTACATCATTCATGTCTTTACTTAATAGTGTTTTACATTTTTAGAAGAATACTTACTGACAAACTAAAAAGAACAGAATTTTTTTTTTTATACAAAATTTCCTTATAATCAAAACCACTTTGAATGCATTTCACATTCCACGGGAAAAGAAAAATATTCAGCCTTTACATGTGTAAGGATGTCAATGAAATCAATTAGTCACAGCCAAATATCTAGTGGCAGGCTACTATATTAAGCACAATGTTATATACAATGTTATGATACCTAATTATACTTTGATATGGAAGATTAGAGATCATAGAGGAAAAACAGATCTTACAACAGATATATGCAGATAGACATTTTATTTTATTTCAAAAAATAGCAAATGTCTTAAGAACACAAACCAGAAAGTTATTAAAAGCTTCATAGCAAAATATTTAGCCAACTCTGTTACAATATATAGGCTTGAGGTTCTAACAGTTAGCACTATGCCTCAATTCACTGAGCAAGTAATGCTCCTGATACATAAACATCGCGCAGTTGAAATATGGAGCTGAATATTAAAAAAAAAAAAAAAAGAGAGGGTATTTTTATCTTTGATCTTTCATTATCAAAGTAATTGAAGAACAATGACATTTTAACAGGCTTGGTTCTTTTTGGGAAAAGCCATTAAAAATAATTCCTGAGTATTTAGGTTAAGTGAATATATCAAAGACGACCAGTTAAGACCAACATCCTGTTAGGTGAGCCTTGCAGCTTGAAGTGACATTCTCTAGCACGGCTGTCATGGCAGGATCACGGCCTAAATACCTTAATGAAATACATGAAAACCTTCTGGTATGCACATTCAAATTCTCATTTTCTTCAGCAATAGCCTACAACTGTCAACTCTGAAGCTTGCTTTGCTGAGAAAAACATTGTTTTAAATGTCACTTCCTTTTGCAAAATCTTGTAATGCAAATTGCCACAGCTAAGCCTCCAGTGAACCATCACACCAATAATTATGTGAAATATATAAATCAAAATTTAGGCAAGGGGCTTTCATACTACGTTAGTGCACATATTGAATTGTATGCTTTGTATCAGTATTTTGAACATAAAGATCTAGTTATTTAGCTTCTTGCTATTGTAATGAGAGGCAATATATTCATTTTCCACTACTCTCTTCAGATGCATGTCACAATATCATCTTATTATACACTGTTTCTAAAATCCTGTTGGCATTCATAACATTCCTATGATTTTAATTGAATCTGTATACTTTGATTTTAAAACTGCTGCCAATCAAAGTGGTATAGAGAACTAATCCCACAAGAACTTTCAGATTTCTTTCTTTATATATGTTTTCCCAGAATTACAGGATTAAATTACAATGGATGTAGAAAGATTATTGTACAAAGCATAGTTAATAATTCACAACACTGGTATTCAACTCGACCAATTACAATGAATTCACAAAAATGGTTTTAATTACACCCACTCTTTTCTATCCACCCACCCCAATATGTAAACAAGTTTCTCACAATGACAATGGCAAGACTGCAGTTACTGAGATGTACCGTATGTGAAAGACAACACCTAGGATAAAGGCCTGGATTTGACAATTCCAGTATGTGCTCCTGCTCACTTCCCATTCTAGACCGCAAGCACCGTTTTTAGACTCTTGCAGTCATTAAATAAACAGAACTTACAGGTAAATGGAGCTTTTTTTCTAATGCAGGCTTCTGGAGTCAAATTGATAAAAAGTAACATGCTTACATAGAACAAAAGAAATAATGACTTGGGAAAAATTGGAATCAGTCATACCAAAACTCTCTGAGCAATGATAATGTACAGTATTGCAGCTGTATGTGACTAAGACAGAAAACTCTTGGCATTACAAAGATGAAAATCTCTGTTCACACAAGCCAATTTTAATGGGCTATTAAGCATTTGGTTAAAAACAGGCTTGTACTAGTCTCACTGACAAGGAAACACTTGTCAAAATGTTTTTTTTTTAAAAATACTGTATGACATCTTCTAAATTGCAATTTAAATATTAAAATCTTGTTTCAGAAGTTCCTCGCTTCAGGTTGTTACTCAAAAACTCATCATGTTCAAAACTCAAATTATTATGAGATCTTGATATCATAAGAAGCTTTTCCTTATTAGTAAAGTCTTTCTTGACTGCTGCTTGCGGCACAAGTAACCTATCCATTGGGTCCTCTTTGTTTTCTAGTTTCATATATCCTTTACTGTTGCTCCGATCCAGCCTGGGCCAGCTAGGGTGTTTCCTTTGTTCAGCTTGGACAGTGAGCGTAGATGGACCTCTGTCCAAGTCCAGGGACTTTGAATGTGAAGACAGGAGATGCAAAGATGTGTTGGACCCAAACTGTTTCCTGGCAGCGCCAGGGGATAAAAGCTTTCCTGTGCTTGGTCCGAGAGTCATAGAAGATTTGAACTGATCAGATGGAGTGTCCACAAATGAATTGTGTCGTGGCAGCATGGTAGCAGCTGGTCTGTAGGATTCATTGGTATCACTTAGTGGAATGGCCAAAGAATCCATCGACAGATTTCTAGACCGACTCCTAGTGATCTCTGAATCCTCAGTTATGTTGTCTATACTGGGCTCATCAATAACACAGTTATTCAGTTTAATTACTGGCAGTGTGAAAGCACTAATGGAAGATGATACAATGGATTTTGTTTCACACTTTATAGAGCTAGCGTTTTTGTCATCTGAAGCCTTGCCGGAGTGAGGGTAAAGTCCAAAGACTGAACCAGATTGCTCAGTCAGCAGAGGTGGTAGGAGGCTACCAGTGGTCCTATCTTCATTTAGGGTAATCTCATCTTCTTCAGCAGAACTATCCATTCTAAAATTACTCTTGAAGCCAGAGAAAGGCGCAACCGTGTTCGCAGCCAGCCGTGACGCACACGAGCTCCCGCTGTGCCTGAGTTCTCCTTCCCCCAACAAGCCAGTGAAGGCACCACTCAGCTGCTTTTGTTCCTTGATCCTCAGGGTGTGGATGTCTATTACAGTGGAGTATATGTCTCTCATGTGTATGATTTTTGTTTCTTTGTCACGGTTTTCATGCAGAATGGCATTTGCACAAATGAAAATGAAGATTCCAATGCCCATAGTAAAAGGGCCCAGCATTTTCATCTTGTCCGAGTGCACATGCTGTTCAAAGAAACGAAGCAAGATGCTTCCTTGGCTTCTCAGGACCTGGGTTTCATTTACAGATAGATTATCTTCAGATCCTAAAAGCTGTTCCTTTTGGGGCCAGTATCCAAGGATGGCCATTGCAATTCCCAAGAAAGCAATAAGCACTCCCAAAACAAGGAAGAATCCCGATGGAGAATAGAGACGGATTTTGCCCCTGACAATTACTACATCTGCCCTGGGCCGGCGTCTAACTGGTTTCTTCTCCTCAGAAGCTGGTGCTGTGGCAAGATTTACATGTTGCTGAGATCTGGCAGAGTCTTGCCTTTTTAAGGCAGCCAGTCCTGTTATTACCCCGCCGGTTGCTATCATATTTCTATATTGTGCCCTGGGAAAAAAAAAAAAAAAAAAAGCAGAAATATTGAGAAAAGCAAAGGTTGTGTCTGCAAATATAAATAGCACTTTGTTAATCTGTAGATATTTCTTGATAATCAAAATATTCATGACTTTAAAAAAGCTACTATATCTTAATCCAGTTATGACACAGTAGCAGTTTTGAGATTCACATGGCTTCTGAAAAAAGATATCCAAAAGTCTTTTATCACTGCAAATATAGGTAATAAATCTTCCATCAGTGATACAGACAGTAGCAGAAAGCCAGTGCTTTTAGTGGTGAAATGTCAGGTTTAAAGATGAAAACATTCAGAAGTCTTAATAGATGATTTATCTCTGGACTGGTCTGCAGCAAAGTCAATAATATATTATTACCTTCTACGCGTTTTAGATCATTTTAGCACTTTAGCTGGCAGTTCTTTTAAAAACTTCTATGACACACAATGACTATGAATACAGATCATTCTACATATCCCCTTTAAGAGATCTTTCCTTATAGGTTTCAGCATATATTAATAGATATTTATTCCATCATTAAAATAAGCTTTTATTAAGCCTATTCAGATTACCTGAGTCTCAACTACAGAATAATTTTTGCATTTTCTGATAAAGCTCATCCTCTTCTATGCACATCTATATCTTTTTTCTCCCCTTCTTGGTTCCTCATGGACTACAAATCAAGTAGCTCAGTTCAGTTTACCAGATAAGAAATCTTCATAAATTTCAAGTTCATCAATTCAAAGCTTCATCATTTTAAAAGGAAATTTTTTTCATTTTAGACTTACTTTCATACCTGGCTGTCTATTACATAAGAAGCATTAACCAGCATGGGTTTAAAAAGAGAAAGCCATGTTTGATAGTTTTTTATGAGTAAGAGTAACAAATGAAACAACACAGTTCAGGATAACTGTATTTTATTTTATAAGGCATCTTACAATCAGACTCAAAAATAGTTTCTGAGTTTAATTAATGAATATTAGAATGAACACTAGATAACAGAGTAAAATTAAGATACTATAAGACAGGTATGAAAAAATTATGTTCTCTTTGGTGGCTTTACCAGGCTCAGAGATAAAGAAAGGCTGACAGTCTTTTGCAGAGGAAAAGGCTCTGTGTCAAAGCTGGAGATGGTTTAACAAGCAGACAAAGCTAAACTTGGACTGGGTGAATAATGCGAGAGGCTGAAAAGCAGAGGCAAAGCAAACCGGTGACTGCTTGCAATTTACAGGTAGTAATTTTCATCAGATCTCTTAAAATATTTATGGTTTTTAAAAAATCTTAGCAGTGCACCCATCAAAAAAAATATTAGATCTATCATGGTATGAGAAACAGACAGGCTCTATATTTGGACACTATCATAGACTTGCAACACTGCAAGCAGGTGTCACATAAGCATATCTACAAACAGAAATCAGTCCAACCCACCAATTATGAACTTGGTTATGAAATTAATAGGGAATTTGAGACAGGTGGCCAAGTGGAAGGACTAATCCAGTAAAAAATGTACCCAGTGTTCATTATTATCTGTTCAGCAGCAATTCAGATGACAGAGAGTAGCAACCTGAACTCTCTCCCTGCACCATCATTATTAAAGGACAGAGCACTTCTCTCTCTGTGAGAAACCTTTACGAAGGAAAGACCTGAAAAAAGGCCTAGGGTGCTAAGTATACAGCATTTTCTGAATTTCTGAAAGAGAAACTCACAGCATTATTCCAAAAAACTCAGAAATTTCACTTGTAGTGTCAGGTTTCATGTTCCTAATCTCTCTGGAAATTCTCACCCTTTCCATTTTTATGCTATCTGGGCAATTTCAATAGTTCAATGGCAATTAATTTCTTGAATGCTTGATGAAAAGCCTTTTTTTTTTTTAATGTAACAATTTAAAAATCCCCCAAAGAAAGTTATTTGACATTGATAGTCTTTAAAAATTAACCCAGAACTTTCTCATATGCCTATGTGTTTAAGGGTTTCTGCCAAAACAAAAGATCATCATTCTATAAAACAATGTTCTGAATCGCTAGACAGAAATAAATAGGACTTATCCATTATAAAAGCTGTTGTATTTTGTCATGACTCAATTAAATGCTATTAGTTTTCTCTATGAAATAAATTAAAGAGAATTATGGCATATTTTTACTGAAATGAACAATCATCTAGCTATAATCTAGTTTGTTCCATTATTCTTTTCCAGATCCCAGACCTTTGGGGGGGACAAGGAGTTTCCATATTCAAGCAGTATTTTACAGGCACACATCAACCCACTCTGTCCATTCTCAGGGCTGCCAAGGAACTGCACAGGTATGGCAGGCTAGTGCTAAATCCACACTCTGCCTGTTGGCAGGATTTGTTATTTTGTGTACTGTACTGTGCTTATCACAGCTACCTGCATTGCACCAAAGGGTGAATGGAGTAAGCTCACGTCTGCTTGCTAAATATTTTAAACAGACCTCTAGCAAGAGTTTGTCTCTAACTCTGAAAAGTAGAGCCAATAAAAACATTCTTAAAAATTACATCTTGGGGTGACTTTCTATAGAAAGTTCTCATTTGCAGATTTTGCAAAAATGGCAGGAAAACCACATCTCAATTTCGTTATTAGTTGGTCTCCAGTAACTTGAAGGACAGACAGAAACGGTGATCTCTTAAAGTGAAAGTGAGAGAGAAAGCAAGATCTCGAGCCACATGGCTGGCTTCCTCCCAGCATTTCAGGGGAAGACATTGTTCCTCTGTTCACTTTACCTGCATCAGACCTTGGGCGCAGGGGAGAGAAAGTCTGACTGCAACAGGATACAAACATATTTTATATATAGAAAGAGTCTCTTTCGTATTTCTTGAGTTCACATCAATATTATTAAATCTTCTTTCACAGAAAAAGTGACAACCAGGTTTGTAAATAATAATTAGTAATAAGCCACAGTGTTGGTAAGGCTTATAAGCTACTTAATAATAACAGCTGAATTTTGATCTCTTCTACATCTAATAAAATCAATGGTATTAACAGAAATATTGGTAAGAGATGATTTCACTTCATGCTGACAGCTTTTCAGAAACCAATTACAATGAAGTGCATATTAAGATGGAAACCTTTTTTTAGAAAATACTATATTTAGAATAAAGTGACATTGTAGATACACTTGATTTATTCTGCAAATCTGTTTAGTTTCACCACATAACAGCCATCATGAGTGCCAGCGACAAATGCTGCTTCTCTTATTTAACTTAGCGCAGTGATTACATTTAGTTTTATCCTGAAGTCTGAATTTAAACTTCTGAACAAGAAAAGACTTAGAAGACTTTGACTCAGAGCTCAATAAAGATTATGCTAAGAGCTCAGACAGCATCTCTTTGGTGGCACTGTGAATGACACAGGCCGGCTCTAAAACGAATTGAATAATGGTAAAAATGGATGTAGAATACAGAACAAAAAGAAAGGGCCGGGCCTGTAATTCATTTTATAAAACACAAACTGTCTTGCTGATACAAAAGCACCACAGCTGCCAAGCTGCTTTTGAAGAACAAACGTTGAGCGACTCTCTAACCTCATAGCCACTCTGTTTGTTTCATCTTCAGCGAGAACATCAGGTCCAAAGGCCTGGACAGCTTAGGGTTTTAGTCTTGAAAGAAGCTGTGGCCCAGATTTACGGACTCTACATTTAGCTTCGCTTTGCATTGTGCTGTTGTTACAGAGTGGCCCTGACACCAGCGCCGTCAGCCACTCAAAGATCACCCAAGAAAAGCCTGTCTTGGTAGAGACCCCGTAAAGCAGCTCCTGCTCGCTCTCGCTCTTGCTCTTTCTCTGCATTGTGTGCGCAGAGGAGAACGGCTCAGGCTCTTGACACTTCAGTTCGAACCTCTTCAATGGCCATCAGCAAGATGCAATTCACCTTTCATCCAGGCTGTAGGCTAAGCCCAGTACTCTGCATCTGGCACGCTTTCTAGGGGACACTCTAAAAAAATGCAGCAGCAAATGGCGTAACAGGTTGTTATGTGCGCCCTTTGCATGAGGAAAGGATGGGCCCCTCAGCAGATACTACTGGTAGTTATCTCAGGTGACTGAAGCCTCAGTAGGGACTGCAGAGAGCCAGGCAGCAAGGACAGAGAACTGGAGACGAAGGGAAAGGCCTGGATAACTGTGGCGGGTTGACGCCAGCTGCCCACCAAAGCAGCTCTATCACTCCCCTCCTCACCCGCACAGGGAGGAGAAAACACAACGAAAGGCTCGTGCGGCAAGATAAGGGCAGGGAGATCACTCACCAATTACCGTCACGGGCAAAACAGA